GTTTGTTTGCAATTGCTAAAGAATCTTGTGGACCTTGGTCTCTTAGCACTTTAACCAGTGGTGGTGGCACTTATCGTGAGCAGGGAGGGGCTGATCACCGGATGATGGTTCAAAGTAAGATCTTCGAGACCAGACCAGACCTGAGTTTAAGTGTTAGCTTCACAGTCAGCCATGACCTGAGGAAGGGAAGAGTGAGCCCTTCCCAGCTGTACCCTGGAATAATGGTAGGATTGAGGCTGAAACATGGCTGAGAACTCAGTAAATGAAACTTCTTGTTATTTAGGTATTCATTCTCTTTGCAAAAATGTTTGTTTCAAACATTGATATTTGTAAAATTATGTAGATAACTATACATGTGTAAGGGAATATAATGGTTCACTTTTATTTTACAGGGTTCTGAAGTCAAAGCTCATAAAATTAGTAATGGCAGGAAAATCATCACTTTTAAAAGTAATTCTCCTTGGAGATGGTGGAGTTGGGAAGAGTTCTCTTATGAACAGATATGTAACTAATAAGTTTGATGCCCAGCTCTTCCATACAATAGGTGTGGAATTCTTAAATAAGGATCTGGAGGTGGATGGACATTTTGTCACCATGCAGATTTGGGACACGGCTGGTCAAGAGCGATTCCGAAGCCTGAGGACACCATTTTACAGAGGTTCGGACTGTTGCCTGCTTACTTTTAGTGTCGATGATTCACAGAGTTTCCAGAACTTGAGTAACTGGAAGAAAGAATTCATATATTATGCAGACGTGAAAGAGCCCGAAAGCTTTCCTTTTGTGATTTTGGGCAACAAGGTCGACATAAGCGAACGGCAGGTGTCTACAGAAGAAGCCCAAGCATGGTGCAGGGATAACGGCGACTATCCTTACTTTGAGACAAGTGCAAAAGATGCCACCAATGTTGCAGCAGCCTTTGAGGAAGCAGTTCGAAGAGTTCTTGCTACCGAGGATAGGTCTGATCACTTGATTCAGACAGACACCGTCAATCTTCACCGAAAGCCCAAGCCTAACTCATCCTGCTGTTGATCGTTAGATGGTCGATGCGTTCTAACCAATTCACACATACACACATGAAAAACATGAGGGTGGATAAGAGAATTAGGGTTGGCAGCAGTGTATCATATACTAATAAAATTAATGTATGTTGCTGCTTCATTTGTTGGTTGGAGAAGGGACACATCGATTTACTTGGTAATGACACCTTGCCTTTCTAAATTGTAACGGTTGTCTAATAAATGTTTCTTTAAATATATAAGTTAGAGTTAATAAACAAATGACCAAGACTTTAATTACAATTAAAACAAAAACTTGACTATTCTAGAAGATATACTTGGATTGCTTTTTCCTCCGGGAGAAGGGAGAACTACTTTTATATGTGTATATTTTTGTGTAGTTAGCATTCTATTCTTGGTTCAATGGAAAAATCTAAAGCAATGATGTTATAATATTAAAGATTAAAGTCTAATGCATTTATATTGTATTGCTTTTTGAGTACATCTTCATCTCTTTAAGGTGATTTTTAACTCTTCCTATTCATTCACAATATCACTAGGATTGATCTCACAGTTGCTCACTTGTGTGCCATGTAGGGACCCCTGCCCTTTCCCAACACAGAAGCTCCCTTTATTACTCTTGGAGGAAATAGTGAGATTGTACTTTGTTGAGAGGTTATATGAGGATATGGTATCTTGGTTTACTCAGACACTTAGTGTCTTTATCATTCAACATTGTTTAGTGATTTGTTCTCAAGATTTTTCCTTCTAAAAGGAGGATTTGCACGAATGACCAGACTTTAAATAAAGCAGACTGTGGTCTTTTGTGGGTCAAGTTCATGTTTGCTGCTGCTGAGAGTCCTATGAAGGCAAATCAAAACCTACACTGCAGTTTATCTGGATGGGATCCTCAGCTGTAGAACAGTGGGGTTATTAAAGGACATACCAGAATGGGCTTAATGGATGTCACACAGGGAAAGTAGAATCTGAAAGACTGGTTGACTCTTGACCCTAACCATTGGGAACTACTAAAAAAAACATTGCACTAAGCTAAGCTTTTCAAAGTCCAATATCCTAACAAAAGGAAGTTTTATAATTGGAGAACATTTTAAATTGGGGCAATATCTTCATTTGCTCCTGTCAGAGTGAGCTGTAGTTCTGATTATAACCAATCCCTCCCCAGCTATAATTCTCTATGTAAAAAGCAAACTAGAGGGCCAGGGATTTAGCTCAGTGGTCCCACTTCCTGCTTCATAAGCATAAGGTCCCGAGTTCGATCCCTGGTGCCCAAAACCAAAACCAAAACCAAAAAAAAAAAAAAATCCCTCATCAACAAATTGTTATATATTAAATACTTTTTTTTCTTCAGTAGACTTGATCTACAGACTTTAAAAAGTCAAGTATACCCACTATCTAGTAATTTTCCTTATCTGAACATATTTCTACCATAGTACATTTCATTTTTGAGCTGTGTGAATGTCTAACCATTTTTAGTTGATATGGATCTAGCAGTAAGTGGTATATGAAAGTGCCAGCTTCTCACACCTTGCTCAACAGTAGGCTTTAGGGGTAATTTTTATTTTTCAGTTATTCTTTTGAATAGATAGTATAAGTGGGTAGTTCAAAATCTTAAGACAAAGTATCTACTCATGCAACTGATTTCTTATCCCTTATAGGCAGCCATATATATCAGTTTCTTGGGCTATGGAAGAAACAATAGAAATGTGAGGGGCTGTCACAGCAGATGTTGATGCTGGCAGCAATAGTGGTGAGAAGCAATGCCCAGAGTCCTGGGGGACAGGTGATGGGCAGGAAAAACAAGGTCATGCTTTGGTCCTCGGGGTAGGGAGGCCCCAACGGTACTGAAGTCACCATAGGGTGTGTCTGTCAGCTAGGTTCAAGCTGTGCATGGCAGAGCCTTGGAGACAGTTGTTTTAAGAAAAAGAGCAATGTACTGAAGTTAGAGGACAGATAAATATGCACCTGATGACTGATGTCATTACAGTGCAGCCCGTGGAAGATGGAAACTATCCCATCAAAAGATTACTTCTCTTCTTGCTTTCTTTACCCTTGTGAAAAATTCCCTAGTTAGAAGCATCCCAAATGTTCCTTGCTTTAAAAGAAGACATTGCTTAGATTTGTATACAAATTTAAGTTTTCACTTTATTATTACACCACCATGAAGTCCTCTCACAGTACCTGTCTGCAAGGTACTACAGTGTTAAGTAGGAAAACAAACCTATGGTAGTTACCTAGTGAAATGCAGAGCGGACAGTCGGTTTCTGGGATGCTAGACTGTCAACTATGAAGTGCTGAAATGACAAATTGACAGCATGGGGTTAGCAGTGATGGATACTGAACAAAGCAGCCGAGGAAAATTTTAGCTATAAAGGGAACAAACCCATTTGTGTGCTTTATCTGGATCACTTTTGGAGTGTTATGTGTTACAAATCTAGTGCTGACATGCGTTTAGTGTAGCCTGATTTTCTTAGGACTGACTTTACCCCATTGCTCTTAAGGACACTACCTGCCAGATCCAAGCTTTGCCAGCTTCACTTTCCTAATGCTCAGGCCCTGGTTTCATCCTATGAGCCTCTGTGCTTTCTCCATGCTTCTGTGCTTGGAATGCTGCTTCCCTGGGTGGCCCCACCTGAGGTCCCATTCCTCGCTGGACTTCCCCCACTAGCTCCTTCAATGTGGTCACACATGAAAATTGGCATTTGGCGTTGGTTATCTACTCACAGTGTATATGTTCCTAGCTCCCATCTCACTCTCACAAATCTAGAGAAAAGGAAGGCTATTTGCAGTGTACCACTGTCATGAAGCTGTGCTGGGGCCTGAAACCAAGACTCCTCACCCATATGGTTTCCTGCTGTAACACACTATTGCTCCTGGCTGGCTCCCAGTATAGCTCTCAGTTATATGCTCATTGAAGGTGGGGCAAATTATATACCATATATACATGTTTGGGTCTCTCATTTCATCATGGTTGAAATTACTCCTAGATTTCTCCATGAGTATCTGTCTCCCCGTTCCTAAAACTCTAGCATGTAGCTGGAGGTGATCTGAGCTCACTAATGAATGGGTTAAGGTATTAGTCTGCATACTTTCAATGGAGGAAATAGGAGGACTGAAACTGGTGGTGGTGGTGTACAACACTTTAAAATTGAATATCAAACTACCACAATCTTGGACAGACACCTTTATTTAAGAAATCAAATAAGAGTTAAAAATGATGGCAGCAGCTTCACACAAAGATACAGGACCAAGCTTAGAATTACTTGCTCAAACATTCAGAACAGAATTTTTCAAGCACTTTTAATAAGGACAGAAAATATCTGGTAGTATTACTTGCTTTTCCATGGATAGTAACTATTTTACATTAAAATCACACTCTTAGTACAGTACAGAAGAGACTACTGGCTGCCTCTAATGTACAGCCTAAAAGGCCAAGTGCAAATGCTGATGTAAGCCAAGCTTTTCTTTAATAACAGTTCTTAAACTGTATTACAACTTTTTATAAGTACAGATATCAATTGGTTTATTCAAGCCCCAGTTTACTTTCTTGAAATACAAGAACATACAGTGATAGAGGCAACACATTTCACCATGGTCTGTAACTGTGGTCCATTATACAAATATGGGTCCATGATTCTAAAATTAAAAAGGATCACTATACCCAGTCTCTGCAGAGGCAGGCATACAATATTTAACACCACAAAAGCGTTTTGCTTCAGCTTCTTAGGTAGAGCTGTGTTAGAAAAGTTTATAGTATTTCTAAAATACTCACAAATAAGTCATCCTATGTGCTATCAATTTCATTCCCTTCTGCATAATCTTTTAGTTTCAAATTTGTTTACCAAATCTTGACTAGACATTTGTTTTTTGAATTCCTACATCAAGGTCAGACTATCTAAATAAGGAAAGTCAAAAGCTTCTCAAATTTTGAAATACAAACATTTCAAAATTATTGATAAAGAGCTCTTTTTTTTTTTGGTACCGGGGATCAAACTTGGACCTTGTGCTTGTGAGGCAGGTAGCAGAACCACTGAGATAAATCCCCAGCCCTGATAAAGAGCTCTTATAAATAACACTTCACAAGCAAATACTGTTGATAACAAACATGAAACAGAATATACCATTTTTAAATTATAAAAGAAATTCCATTTGATTTAGATAAACCGAGACAAGTCTAAGTTTTCTAGGCTATTTAATCAAGTTACAATGCACACATTCCTGAGTATATCCCATTGTGACATTGTTTATTTTGAAATTTTTCTGCATTCAGCTTAAAAGATGTTTCTTCCCAAGAAATTGAACTTTTCTGTCAAATGCACTTGACCGAATAGGAGAGTTGGGTTCATAAAATGGATTCATTGCAAACTGTGAAAGAAAAAGGTATTAGTGAGCTTGTCAAAGCAAAAAGGCTGAAAAATCATAGGACTTAAGGAAATTATTTTAAACTCATTAATCATCATCAAAGACATTTAAAACAAAATTTTTTTTTTTTTTTTTTTTTTTTTTTTTTTTTTGAGGCAGGCTCTTGATATACAGTTCAGGCTGGGGCTTGAACGCACTATGTAGCCCAGGCTGGCCTCAAGCTTTCGGCAATCCTGAGTGCTGGGATGACAGGTGTGTGCCACCATACCTGGCTGCTCCATTGTTAAACACTGTCTCCTTAAGTAATTTTTGTTTTGGTGTTTTAGTTTTGAGAAGTACCTGTAGCAAAACTAATGGTAGTAGGATAGATATTATTGTCTGAATAAATTAAAGTAACTTACCTGTGTGTGAAATACAGCACTAATCTACTTGTATTCATTATTTACAAATGGACTGAGCTGTGAGGCCCTTTGGACTACTTAAACTAATGAAAAATCTGTCACATGTTCAGAGTTAAGGAAAGGTTACACTACACTGTTATTTCAAAGTTTTATGCAGTATTTTTTAGTCGGGGTTTTAAATATTCTCCTTTAACAAAGCTAAATAATCAGTTCCTTATCTAAAGTAATGAATGCATCATAACAGGTGTGAGAAATTAATATTAAATGGAATTTCTAAGGAGGAAAGGAATTACTGATTTTTACATCTTAATCATTTTTTTAATCCATCTTTATAAGACAGCTAAACATTCATTTGCTACCTTTGACTAGAATTGGTGGCTTTCAATTTTATTACTGTGCTGATGTATAAGAACTCAGACAGAGAACATATTTAAATTTGGAACAAACTGTTATTGGCACTGTACTTTAACCATGACATCGTATAACTATTTTATTTCTCAATTCAATATCAAATGTAGGTGCACCATTCTCCTTGAATAACAATTTCATGATGTAAGAATCACTTCTTGCCAATCCATGATCTACATCCACTGCATTTAGCTTATTTGTAAATTAGAAACAGTGTAGATATAAATTACAAAGCAAATTTCCTTTATGTAGGCTGTTTCCTTGCTGTCTTGCAGGTTCCCTAACTAAATGATATGCACCAAAAGAGGAAGAATGGCACTGATTTACCTTCACAATCATTTCAAAATAACTACCATGGGTTGTTTTCCTGGCCACACATTAACTTAGCAGTGAAGATCTGCTTGCTGAGAAAGCTGCCAGGGCTAGTTCTGATGTGGCTAAAGCTAGTTGGAAATGAAAACTGTGCAGCCTAAGGGAGTTACTTAAACAGGCTAGTTTACTGTCAAAGCTAGAATCCTTTTTTATAACCAGATTTTAAAAAATCATAGAACATACCATACCTTTATATATAAATCATAGACATCAGTAAAGAAGTTCTTTATTCCATCTTCTTGCCTTATATCATGAAGCATAATAAATCTCATATGTGGAATAATTAAGGTATAATCTATTAAAACTGAAAAGCTACAGGTTGACACTCTACTCTTTAAATCAGTCATGTATTTTACAATGGAAAAGTTGAACACATGAACTGGGTTTAAAGTCAACTTAGTTTTATCTTAAAAAGAATGTAACCTTTTCAAAGCTAGGAAAAATATAAAAATAGCCCTATGGATGGAAATTTTTACATTTTCTCACGACTCCTTGACATCTACAGATTCAGAACCTGGCATCTATGTTTCATAGTCTTCTGAGTCTTTTCACACAACCTTTAGTTAAGTATCTTTACTAATAAGGTAAGGATATGGCCTGCAGTGACAAATGCTGACACAAACCACTCATTGAATTTGTCCACAGTTTTCAGGTACATGTTGTTTGAAAGCCACATGTTTTCATCCACAAGGTCAAGAGCAGCATGAGCTATGAATTGATTCAGATGACGATGATCATCCTAGCCGACAGAAAGGAGTAACAGATTAAAATTTCCATGTGGCATCAGGAATGCCAAGAAATCATTCCATATATTCTATATATGGTTTTGTCAGGTAGGAAAAATATTACACTTTTACTTCATTTATTATCATGAGACATAAAAACATCTAGTTTCCCATAGTTCTCACATTTACTCGGATATCTAAAACTCAACAAGAACTGAAACAGCCAGTTAATAAATGTGTTCAAGAAACTACACAGAAAATTATATCTTTAGTGTTGCAAGAAGGAAGTTACCAAATTCTGTAACCATTTAAGCATGTGAAAACACAATACTACATTTAAGAGGCCAAAAAACAGGAAAGGTAGATCCTACTTTTGAGAAGCTCTCATCTTTATTAGAGGAGAAAGACACAAACAATGTGTCAGTGGATGTGGATCCAGGAGAGCACCATAGGGAGCCCGGGCCCATGGAGGTGGTGAAGGAGAGCTGCAGAGGAGAGGTGCCAGGCACTGGGCTGCACCAGCTGGAGGGAGCATCAAGGGCTGGGTTCCTGAGCAGTGGCACCAAGGACACAGCAGCAGAGACAACTGAGGAAGTAGCACTCACGATGGCAGCACAGAGGCCTCTTTCAGATGAATGGAGCTTACACTGCATGGGGATCTCAGATTGGTACAAGGCCACGCTCAGCCCCAGCTGTGAACAGTCATCTATGTCAGCAGGGGACAATTCTGTCAGAAATGGGAGGGTCCTTGTGTCGGGCTGATATAACTTAACTGGAGAGAAGGTGGAACTGATCCACCATAACATGGAGAGGAAATTCACAACCTAGAGTATAGTCTTAGCCCTGTGGAATTCTTTCACCTCCTTTCTCCTCTGTAGTGCTGAGGATTGAACCCATAGCCTCAGGAATGCTAGGCAAGTGCTCTACCACTTGAGCTATATCCCCAGCCTGGGATTATTTTCAAAATGCACTTTCAGTGAATACCTGTTGTGCTTGAACTGTGTCCTCCCCAAAATTCACAAGCTGAAGTCCCAAGCCTCCGAGCTTCAGAATGTGGCCCTAGAGAGGGTCACTGCAGATGTGGTTAGTTATGCTGGGCCTCTAATCCAATATGACTGGTGTACTTAAAAAAACAGGTGCTCTGGAGACAGACATGCACACAGGGTGAATGCCACATGAAGACTGGTGGTAACAGTTGCCAAAAGCCACAAACTACCACAAATTAGGAGAGAACGAACTCTTCCTTGGTGCCTTCAAAAGGAGCATGGCCCCGCTGACACCTTGACTTCAAATTTCTGCCCTGTTATGGTTTGTGTCTAGATGTCCCCCCAAAACCTTGGGGCCATGGTGGGGGGGCTTTTTGGAGGTGGCTGAATCTGGCTATGTGATGAGTATGTGATTACTAAATCAGTCAAATGGCTGGTTTAGCAAAGTTCTGGGCAGGGAAGGGTGCACCAGCCTGGGTGTGAGTACTATCTGCTGGATAAGATATAAGGGACAGAAAAGAGGGTCTTAGGTCCCTTGTTGCTTGCTTGCTTGATTTCTTGTCTTCTGCCTGCCCTGCTTTGGCATGGACTGTTTCTCCTCTGCACTGCCCCTCTGCATGGAGCCAGCCGACTATGGGCTGAAACCTCTACGAACTGTGAGCCAAATAAACCTTTCCTCCTTTAACTTTGGGTGTTGGGTATTTTGTCTCAGCAATGAGAAAGTAACTAAGACAGCCCCCTAAATCTATGAGACACTAAATTTGTTGTTCTAAACCACTCAGATTTTGGTACAGAAAACTGGCATGACCTTCTTCCTGAGGACGTTGTTCCCACGACTAGGCTGGAAGAAGGCTGCCAGTTGCCCTGGAATCCCTCATATGGCTAAGTATGTTTACTTCAGGTACGTCATGACAAAGCTATCCTTAGAGAAAAGGGATGTATTTTGTCTCTAGCACACAGCAGTACTTCCCATGACTTGATAACAACACTCACTCTTGAAAGGGAGGGAAGGGACAATAACAAGAATTAAGATGTGCCATGTATACATACCAACCTCACGATGAATGTAATCAGTATGTTGTCCAAATGTGTACTAATAGAAAATTTTTTAAAAGACTAAAAAATGATCACTTTTGAAAGAATGGGTACAAAAAGCAGAAATATTTTAAGAAGGTGAGCAGCACCAGGAGAGAAAACTAAGACCAAGTCAAGTGATTCTGTGGTTTCATATGTGCTGTTTTACCCACCATTAGCCCACTGGAGTACACAGAAGCTGTATGCAAGTAGCAATGTCCCATGAAGCAACAAGTGCTACAGAAATATACCAAAACAAAGTTCTAATGAGCAGCATTCTCATAAGAATATAGGAAAGCTATGTAGTGATACCATTCGGTAGATAATACCTTAAGTCTACTGCACTTTGGTGATTAGAAGTGAACATGTTAAAAGTATCTTACAACTTAAGATTGTACATTATGACTAATTTAAAAACTCCTTGTCTTAAAGGACATTAAAGCCTATTTGTGGAGTCTGGGAGAAACAGAGCATGTTGTAAGCAATTTATTAGGTACATGGACTACTAAAAACAGATGGAAAGGACTGATTGTAGGACTATTTACTCTGAATGGTAGGTAATGTCCCTGAACCAAGCTAGTTTGTCTGGAACCATTTCTGGCAATAAAAAAGTTGGGGGCTTCACCTCTGCGGCTGCTTTTAGAGTTTCCTGAGCACAGCCATGGTGTCACTGGGGAGGAGGCCATGTAGGTACCACCCGGCCAGGCAATGCTATAGAAGTCACTGGAAACAAAGGGCTGCAGACCTAGTGGCATCAGGACAACATGGGAGTCCCTTTTAATCCTCTCAGATATAACGTGATCTCTATGTCCATACCCATGAAAAGTGTGATTCACTAAAACAGAATGTACATCCATAGCATTTAAGGCAACAGCAATTATTCTTCGAGACCCACTAAAAGTAGATGATGTTTCCATGCATGTAAGAAAGAGCATTTCCTAGCTGGTGACACAGTGAACTGAACATCATGGGAAAAGACCTGGGCATCATGGTAGTCTAAGTACGTGCTCAAGTAAAGGTTGCATAAACAACCCGTTGTATCAGTCTATGAGATTCCAGAGCGAGCCTCATTTAATGGTGGTAGAATTCAGTTGCTTCATCTGTCCAGATCTTCCAGTTCTAAAATCATACCACAACATTACACCAGCGAGAAAAATTCTTATGTAATTTAAGATTTCATACATACTTTGGATTCTGTTTTCCCAGCTGGCAAAAATTCCATTTCAAAAACTGGATTATCATGGTGGCCAACAATTACAAAGTAGAAGCTTCCTGACATCGTCTTTAGTATACGGCTCCTAGTACGTGAAAAGCAATATACACTTTTAGTATTCAAAACTGAAATCCAAACATGATTAACACCAAATCTAGAATTCTTTTTTTCTTAGCTTAAACTTGGTTTGTTTTCCAGTATAACTATGATAGATATACAACTTTTGGACTATTCAAGTTAGATCTGGTATGTAACTTTAGAATCCAATGTACTGTATCTTCCGAGAGAACTGGAAAACCTCTGATATAAAATAAAAAGACAACATTTTCATGACCTGAAAATCCAAGACATTCAGCTCAAGAGTCCCTGTGTGTCTGATGGAGTAAGCCAGGCTTAATTTGGACTGGACTGGTTAGCATTCACATTAACACTAGAAGGATGAATACAGAGTACTGATTAGTTAAGTACGATTGTGAATAGAAGAGGCAAAGGAAATAATTACCTTGCCTCAAAAGCTTCCAAGAGGTACCTTTCAGAGAAAACGAAAAACAACTGTACCACATGTCATTTACACAGGAGACACTAACATTTATCTACAGACTGTGTACTACATTTCTCTTCTTTCTACCTGAAGGATGTGTGCTGCAAATTTAAGTCCCTAGACATACAAGAGCCTGTGCTATACCTCTTTCTATACCTATAAGTAAGAAGTTTTGTGTTCTAGAAAAAAATGGATGAAATAATACAAAAAGGAAGATGATCTGAGGTACTGAAAGGTCTTGGAACTAAAGGATATCAGGTTGATCTAAGAAAAAATACTACAGGAAACTGGGAGAAAAAAATCAGTGATTCTGTGGCTTTTAATACAGATCATCCAAAAGCTGGACTGGCAGATAGATGGGTGGATGGACCGAAAGATAAACAGAAAGATGGATGATGGGTGGGAGGGGGGGAGGATGGATTTAAATATGTGTTTATTTTTAGCATAAGGGCTTTGGTTTCAGAAAAGGCTAGGTTCAAATCTAGCTCTGTCTTTTACTAGCAACGTGACCACCTTAATCTCCCAGTGTCTTGTTTCCTCAGCTGCACAACATAGATAACATCGTAGCTACTTTCATGATACATTCATGAGAATTACACAATCTAATGCCTGGAAAGCATGAAAACGGAATACATGGTATCTAGCTCACAGTAAGTGCTTAATAAGTGTTAATGAGAATATACAAGAGCTTATGCATAAGAGGATGTGGTAACTAGTCACTCCTTGGCGAGGAGGGGGAATCTAGTTAACTGGGAGCAGCTAGTCAGCCTCCTGGACACCTGAGGTGGGTTAAGCCCACGATTCACCAAGCCTCACTAAGTCTTCTGCTGATTTACCCAGAACCCACAGCACCATCAGAAGCCATCTGAATGTGTTTCTTAATGAATGACACCTTTGTAAAAGGCCACATCCGGTACTTTCAACTCAAATTAGAAGGCTATGACCAGAAGAAAAAGTAGCTAAGAGACTCTTGGCGTGATGAAATAGGATTTAAAATGTTACTTGGAGCAAGGGTCAGCACATTACAGACTGCAGGCTAAATCAAGCCTCATACATCCTCCTTACTGTCTAAGGGCTGCTTTTGCTCTTCATTGGCAGAGTCAAGCAGCTGCAAGAGACGATCTGGCCCACAAAGCCAAGAATATTTACTATCTGGGCCTAGACAGAAAACATTTCCCTCTCTTTTGGGGGAAAGATAAGTAAAACTGGATGACAAAGACAAGCAGGAATGATACAAAAGCTATGCAAAACTAGGAGAATTTGCAATAGCTTTCATGAGAAAGTGAGGGAAAGAGGAAAGGGAACTTGAAATGTGAACCAAGTAAACAATGATATCATTAATTCTTACTGGGATAGGCTTCAGAGCTTCAGTTTGCCAAGGGAAGGGGTTATTTTCTTCAGCACATTTAAGCAGCAGCAAAAGAGGAAAAATAAAAACCCAAGCAGCAGAAGGAAATATATGTATAAGGAAGACAACTTTTACATTCCTCCCCACACATTTGCTCCTTTATGGAATCCATGAATGAGAAGAAGCATAGTGCTTAAGTATTGCAAGAGGAGGAACAGATAGGGATCTGAAAGATGCATAAAGGTTCTGTTACAAACCACCCAGCTGGGCAGATGAGACAGAGCCTTCTTTATATACATTCTGTCCTTGACTTGAGCTGCCAGTAATTTGATTTTGTAAATAACTCAAGAAGTTAGAAGGCTTCTAACTCTATTCAATTCTGCCAAGGAAAATCTGACAGGTGAAGTGGAAGAACTGAAAATTCTGGGAGATAAGAACTCCACTGTCTCAGGAAGACAATGCTTGCAGCTACATGCAGGCTCAGCACCATGGATACTGGGTAAAGGTGAGACACGCCTCTGTTGTCCAACACACTGATCTTTCTGCAAGGATGGAAATGTTCTGTAACTGTGATGTCCTGAGTGGGAGCCAGTAAACATTTGAAATGTGACAATGCAGACAATGTAGAAATAGGTCACTAGCTAGTAACGAATATAAAGATAGGACCAGAGATATCTGACGTCAGCACCAGAGGGGCAAAAGCCCACCAAGAACCAAAGTATGTAAAATACCTTAAGAAAAATAAAACTCTCTTTAGGTTATGATCAGGAGAAAGGCTAACAGCTTTAAGCACTTGGTACACACTGAGATGTCTCTGCTAAAGATAATGGCTTTCAAATAGCATGGATGGAAAAAAATCAAGTTAGGCAGATGCAAACATCACGCGAGGTACATTAAGAAAAAATTGGAGCATTTCAATAGATTCTAGTCTTTAGGTCCTGGCAAATTAGATAGCTTGGATTAACAAATGTTGACTGTATATCCACTGTTGATTGACATTTGAGAAATCACAGGCAGAAAAGTGCTATACCTTCGGAGATAGGTTAAGTAGTATTTGTATTTTCAGAAACAGGATATAACGTTCTCATCTGTAACTGGGCAAAAAGGAGACTAAAATAACAGAAATATGTATTAAATGCCTGTTGTTTTAGTCAGACATGCCAGGAGCTTTTATTATACATTAACTCATTTAATAGGAACCCCTTGCAAAAAAAGAGTTGGTTATTATACATTCACATACCAAGAACAAGCCGTGCCGAACTTACATCTTTTATTTATGGAGGAAAATCTGGTATGTAGACAATAAGTCATTTTCTGAGGGATTTTGGTATCTACCTAAGTACAAACTGCTGACTTGTTTTTGCTAGATCGGTGCCTTCTATAACAGCAGACACACTGTTTGTCTTGTTCACTATGGCATCCCCAGAGCTACAACAATGCCAGGGACCCAATGGGCACCCATTATTTGCGGAAAAGGGACCGCCCCCATAGTTGACTTGCATGTTAATACCCACAGAAATGGAATGCTCTATGTCAAATTTTGGCCCAGGGTCTCTAGGGAGGCTCTCAGGTTGACTTTAACCTAATCCAGTTTAGCACTGGAGTTAATAACTTGGATGAAAATAACTCATCACATTCAAAGATAAGGCTAAGGGTAGCTAATTTATTAGAAGACAAAATTTAGGATTAAATAGATGAAATTAACAAGATGTAATTTAAGAGGATGAGAAATAGAGCCTGGTATTGAGTTTTTTAAAAAATAAACAGGAAGAGGGAAACCTAGATTAAGTGCAACTCACTTATGGTAGTGAAGCCCAAAGTTTTAATCTACTACAAGCTTGTTAAGAGGCAGCAGTCTGTTATGATGGTCAAAAAAGCTAAAGTAATTCTAGGCTGCATTACGAGAAAGAGAAGTCCAAGCAAGGCTGGGAAAGTGCTGACGTTCTCTTTACTAATAATACCACCTTTGAGAAGTACTCAGTTCTGGGAACAACATTTTAAAAGGATCAATACTTTAAAAAAATATGTTAGGGCCAAGGGTGAAATCTAGCTAGGGAATATTCTAGAAACAAAACGTCAAGTGAAGGAACTAAGAGGAAAAAGGGTGTTTTGGTGGGGAGGTACAGCACAATACTATTTTTAAATATGCTATTTATATAGAAAAGGGATTTGACTAGGGATGGCAAAAGGTTTCTTTTTCTGTGCCAGTTCTAATCACCTTGTAGTGACTGCCACGTACTGGTGCTGAGAAAGAATCTGCAATCAGTGTAGTCAGCAGGAAATCACTGTGATCAATTATTCATGCCTGCTCAGGTTTGGGGGAGTACAGGGCCTACATGAGGACCAACTCTGTATTTGTTAGTATTTTCTAACTCTGCACTACACAGACTTATTCTATGCTGCTCCACAAGACAAGCAAGCTCGGGGCTGCTCATCTGAAGTTACCAGGAAGCTAAAAATGAGTAAGGGGCAGATAGAGGACCACTAGCACCAGACTGGGAGGATGAACTCAAAAGAACTTAGAAGTCGTTTCCAAGCCTTAACAATATTAAGTTGCAGGCAAATGTAAGACAAAAGTCATAAACTCCAGTTCCAAAGCCATCCGTCTTTTATAGCAAGGCTCTTTACAGCCTCTACAGAGGGACATCTAGAAAACTGCCCTGTGCTCCAGGCAGCAGTGGTTTCTTTCAGTTGTTCCACAGGGCTGGGGCTGTAAGACTGAAGTGGTGTGGCACAGGATATGTCTATTTAAGTGAGAAGGAGCAGTATAAATACTACTGATAAGTATCTAATGGGAAAACTTCCTATTAATATTATAAGCAGCCCCCACCACCACCACTGCCGAGTTTATGCTGGCTTTTGGAGAACATTTAACCTTGGGACCAAAGGTAGGGGTGGGTGTGAGAATGTCTTCAGGCACTGATGCTTTAAAAAAACTAGTGGACCTTTTATCACACAGAGCGACACCCCCAGTTCTCCCCTTTTGACAGGGTCTCCCTAAGTTTCTTAAGTTGTTCAGACTGGGCTTGAACTTGAGATACTTCTGCCTCAGCCTCCCAGAGTTCTGGGATCACACCACCATGCCCTGCTTTATATCAATATCTTTCTAGAACACTGCTTTCATCATTTCACTTTTCTCCTCAAAAGCCTTAATACTTCTCAGCTACAGGTCATGTACTAGTACTCAAAAGAGATTTCCATGTCATTCCTTCAGCCTTATTGTTCACCTTTGCTAGAGGTGAATGGTCCACTTATTGTTTCTCTTAAATTCACTTTGATTATATCAGACTGTTATACTTCAGTTACTCTCCTTATTTTTCTCTTTATAATTAGAACACTCTTCCTGACTGAGTGTCCACACCTTACTCATCCTTTAAAGTCCAACAAAATCCTTCTTCCACAATTATTCCCCGCCAAAAAAAAAACAAAACAAAAAACCCTATAGGCCTTTCTACATTATTGGTGGGAATATAATCTAGTGCAACCACTATGGAAATATGTACAGAGATTCCTCAAGAAACTAAAAGTAGAAATTCCACTTAACCCTGCTATTTCCCTTCTAGGTAACTTCCCAAGAGTTAAAAGACATTATATTACAGTGATCCATACATACTCATATTTATAGCATCACAACTCAGAACAGATAAATCTTGAAAGTGGCCTATATGTCCATCAACAAATGAACGGATAAAGAAAAGGTGGTATTTATATAGAATGGAATACTACATAAAGGATACATCTGAATCATTTGTAGGAAAATGGATGCACCCTGAGTCATAATGTTAAGAGAAATAAATCAGATACACAAGCTTAAATATCGAGTGACTTCTCTGAGAAGCCCAAAGTATTAATAAATTAAAGAGCAACATAAAAGACAGATAATAGGAAACAGGGAGATAGAACCTTTGCAAAAGGTAAGGGGACCCAAAGATAGAGGAAGGAGGGTAGAAGGAGAGGAGGATGAAAAAAGAACAAAGATGAGCTATGTACATAGACCAACTTCCCACAATGAACATAATCATTATGCAATGCAAACATGGATGAATAAAATTTTTTTAAAAACCCTATGAAATGTGTTACTCTGAAATATTTTAAACTTTTCACATCCAGGTATCAAAACTCCTACTCTTCTCCGGTGCTGTGCACAAAGCTGACAGTGACCCAGTTTTGTCCTCATAGGTAGGACTTAAGATACCTTATATCCCCAGCACACAACTTTGGAGTCAAGCCAGAATTTCCACTGCCTCCAAAAAGGTCCTGACTTTTAAAAAATCATCTTGCTCATTTTCTCTTTTTTGCGATGTTCTCCTTTTTGTCCACTAAATCTTACCACTCAAGGCAATGATGAGTTAACACGTTTTAAATATCGACCACTTCCATCTTCAACTGCCTCTCCTTTTCCCAAACTCTTTACCCCACCTACCTACATTGCATCTTAATTCTTGTTCTATTTTCAGGCTGTAATGATTTCATTACTGCTTCCGAGAGATTTGGTTCCTTCGCTTTCCAGTTAAAGTATCCCGGGGACCGGGCTCAAATATCTTTGTCACAGCACACAAAGGTGATTATTATAAAGTTTAGTTCTGTCGTTCTTAACTGGGAGAGATGACGCCTTTCTGAGGCTATGTGACAATGTCTGGAAGCATTTTTGGTTTTCACAACTGCGCGTATGGGAGCGGTGTACATTTATTAAACATAGACCAAGAATGCTGTTAACTTCTTACTGTGACAGGACTACGCCCTACAACAAAGAATTTTCTGGTCTCAAATGGTCCCAGTGCCACGGTTAAAAAACAATGGGTTAGCAGTGAAAATCAAGCCTCCAGAAGATAGACATCTGCAGTGGAAACGGAGGGTGGTCCGATCGGGCAGGTGGGCTGGGATCGAATTGGCCGGCCGGGGACTGGCGGGGGATGAGGTACACTCCCGATGTCCGCGTCACGCGGGACCTGGGACGTCCTCCAAGGACTCGGAGCGCCCGCCCCCTCCCCCACTCGCTCCAACCCCTACCTGTCTCGAGACGCCGACAACGGAAACGCCCAGTCAATTCCCGGGGCTGAGACCCGCGCTCCTCAGATTCAGCCAGGACTCCGGGAGCAGCCCTCGCGATACCCCCTCCGCGAATGAGCTCTCGCGAGATATGGGTGGAGCTTCCGGTTAGTGCTGTGGCGGTCCTGACAAAGACAGCGACGCTCAGAGAGTATTCCGTCTCTGGGGGCATCAGAATATTCTCTGAGCAGTGAAAACTCGATCCTCCCTCGCTGCTGGGTCTCTCCCTCCCGTTCTCCGCCCTCCACCTGCCTTTGTGAGTCTCTCTACGATCACGGCCCCGCCTACCCTTCAAGAACAGCGGAGAGGAGTGAGCGTCTTTGTCTGAGTTTTAGTTTGAAGCGCTAGGCTGAGCGTTCTGTTCCTCTGTTCTCCGGTCACCCCGGAAACGGGGCCCTGAAGGAAGGGATTCCCTCTCGTCCAAGGCCAGCCAGCCTGGGCTGGACCTCGAATTGCGTCACGGCGGGGCAGGCTCGGAAGGAAGCAGATACCTGATGGTGGCTGAGGTAGCTACACCTGCCACTTTCCGGGACCGACTGGGGAGAAGTCTCTTGTTTCCGTCCCTTAGAGCTCCTTTACCCCGCACGCATCTGAGGGCTTCCCGGGCGGCCACTGGCCTGTTTTCAGAAATTCACTTGTTCACTGACCTCGATGTAATTCAGAACCATTTTCTCTTCCAGTCCACAATGCCCCCTAAGTATGATGTGTTGAGTCAAGATGAACTGCGCAAAAAGCTATACCAGACGTTTAAGGATCGAGGTATACTGGACACTTTAAAGGTATCAGATTTAGTTCCGTCTGTGTCATAGCTTTTACAAGTGTAACCTGCAGCAGTCCACATTTAAATTTATCGAGAGCTTGGATTTTAAAAATAGGATGATGCGTAGATTGTAGTGGTGAGTTATACTTTTGTATGGAAAATGTTTAGTTTGAGTCGTAAAAGAGCCTATTCAAATAATAGATTTATGGAACTGGTATTAAGATAGGAGCGGTAACATTTAAGTAATGAACATATTTTAGTAAGGTTAGACTTGTTCTTTGTATCTGGTATACTGTTCCTGAATCAGTAGGTGGTTTTGTAGTATGTTTGATGAAGGATATTGACTCCATGTAGAATATATTAAGTGTACTGCTTACTGCAGAACAGTTTGAGGAATGAAACTTTTTGCCTTAAAATACATTGGGACATAGCATTTAATATGGACAGCCAATATGTATTAGTACACTTTGTATTTTAACAGCAAGAAGTAGGATTACCTCAATTTGTGTACAGTATACATTTCAAAAGTATATTTACACTTAAAATAGGAAATAAGGAAAAGTAACCCTGATTAGTATCTCCCTTTTGCCTATTGCTTTTGTAACCTCCTAAAAACAGATTCATCTGGAAAATACAGAAAAGAAGGGGGAAAATGATATCTAATTCAGCCACAGTTGGTACAATGTGCATGTATCTTGTTTTAAATTATATGGAAAGCATTTCCTTGTTGCCTTAAATTTCTTGAAATCCTGATTTTCAGTAACAGTGGGCTCATCTTTGGATGTATGAGTAATTTGTCGTGCTCCCTGTTGTTGAATGTTTAGTTTACTCTAAGTCTACACATAACCTTCGGTTGCACCTTTCATTTTTCTGACTAGCATAGATTAAATCACATTATTGTGTCAAAGAACATTTTTAAGGTTATTGATGTGTAAATTTTGTTTTTGATCAGTGTGCCCAATAAACTGGCTTGACTAGGCAGTATTTTCTCAGCCTCCAGCAATCCAGAGAGGTGTGAAGTGCTCAGATGTTCTCATTTACTTGATTCCCAATCACAGGCACCTGTGCCCTTAGGGAAGCAAAGTTATAATAGTCTACAGAGCTGGGAAAAGAAAGCTTTTGATTGAATTCACTGGGCTGCTTCTCTCACCAGGTCAGACAAATTGTACTTGGCTTAGATCCTAATTTGTGGCCATGGATCTAGAACCATTCTGGAACTAAAAGGATTCCAATAAAGACAAATCTGTATGTCTCTAGTGAAGCTATCCTGCTAGATTATTTTCTTCCTGTCTTTCTCCCCTCCCCTCCCTTTTGTATTTTGCTTTGCTTTGTTTTGTTCAGACACAACTCAGAAACCAGCTAATCCATGAACTGATGCACCCTGTGCTAAGTGGAGAACTGCAGCCTCAGTCCATCTCAGTGGAAGGAAGTACCCTCTTAGTAGGGGCCTCAAACTCTGTAGTGGCAGATCACTTACAAAGATGTGGCTATGAATATTCCCTTTCTGTTTTCTTTCCGGAAAGTGGTTTGGCAAAAGAAAAGGTAAAGTCTTTCTGTTTTTGAATTTTTTACAAATAGTTACTTCCTCCTATGATTGTAAGTAGTAATAATAGCTGAGTGTTCCCTTTTAGTGTGTGGAGCTATGGATTGGACCCAACCAACTGTATTCCCCTACCTTGGAAGTGTTTCTTGACTACTTCGATTTCTTGTTCATCTTTGTTTTTGTTTTTGTTTTTTTTCTCATTGAGTTTATTGGTACATTTTAGGTATACAGTACAGTTACATTCATCATTGGGATCTTGTACCTTTACATGACAGATCTTGGTTGTCATTTTTTCCCTTTGTCCCTGCCCTCCCTTCACCCCCTCCACCCCTCCCCCTTTACAAACACTTCATTTCCATCTTTTCATTAACTCATATTTTTTCCTTTTCCTGTATTACCTTTCCCCTACCCTTCCCACTTCCCCTACACCTTTAGCCCCTTTCTTCCTATTTCACATTGTCCATTATATCATTAGGATCTCATGTACTATTATAGTTTATTCACACCAGAGAAACTATTCGGTATTTACACATGTGTGATTTATTTATTTCACTTAGGAGTATATCCTCAGTATGTATCCATTTTCCTATGAATGAATCTAATTTCTCAATCTTTATGGTTGAGTAATATTCCATCTTGTTCATCTTTGAATTCACATTGTATCTGCCTGTAATACACAATTTAGTGTACTGTGTATTGTTACAAAACAAATGAGTACTGACTGTGATTGTCATTAAATCTTTGGTATATCAGTCTTTTAGAACTGGAGCTGGCCTTAACATTCTGTGTAGTCTAATTAGTTTATAAATGCCATTTTTGTTAAGTCTCTTGTGAACTTGGCACTGTGCTAGATACACTGTAGGTGTCACATGTGTTGTAGATGACGAACCAGACCCTGGACAGGTGATTTGCTCAAGTTCACACAACTTGTAAATGGCACAACTTTTAACACTAGATCACTGAAATGTGTTCTCTTTACTATGCTACTGTGTCTTCAGATTTCTCAGCTTTGTAATTGTGTAAGAGAAGCTAAAAAAGAATAAGAAAAGCTGTAAAATTCTCAAATATTAAAAATCTTTTGCGTTTTATCCCTTTTCTGACTATTTTAACTGTTTTTCATTAATATATTAGTCATACTTTATTAATTTAAAAGTAGCACGCGTCCCTGTGTGTTTCAAAATATAACATGCTTTTTTTTAGAGCAGTTTTAGGTTCACAGCAGAATTGAGTGGAGGATACAGAGAGTTCCCATATATCTGCACCTGCACACATGCACAGACCTCCTTCCTGTCACCGTTTCCCCTCTGGGTGACACATTTGTTGTAGCTGGTAAACTTACATTGACACAGCTTTGTCACTCAAAATTTATAGTGTACATCAAGTTTCACTCTTGCTGGTCATCCCTGTCTTTGTACTCTTGATTTCATCTGTAATTATCCAAAAGTTTCATGTTGCAGAGCTTTAAGGAAATAAGAATGTTAGTATTTGAATGAAATCTTGAAATTTAGGTATCTGTTTCTTCATTAAGAACTACATTCTATTATCAAAATTAGGAATTCATTTTTAGTCTGTCATTCTCTAACTTTCTAATATGTTTTATCATTTTGCTTAATATGTGTGTAATGATTAATTATGTATTATTGTGGCAGTATTTAATCCAGTTCATGCATTTAATGATTTCTCCTCATATAAAATGCTATGCAGAATATTTTATTTATTTGAAAACAAATTACTGCATCTCAGTGTTGTCAGGGTAGATATATTAAATGATACATAACTGCAGTAAAAATACATAAGAATAGCTATTCAACATGTGTGTTTAAAAATATTTTGGGTACTTTGTAGTCATTTATAGTTGAAAGGACAGTAAAAATTCAGTTTCTTTACATTTTTAAGTAGTAATTATAAAGACCTGGAATTCCCTCATCTACTTATTGGTTTGTTAGATACTGTAATTGAGTGTCACCTGAAAAGCATGTAACAATTGCTATCATTTTTGTTCAGCGTATCATCTTTGTTAACTATTTGGGGTTAATTACATTATTTAAAAAATTTTATCCTTTTAATCTCAAACCTATGTTTATAGTAACTTATTAATATAAAAAAGCTCCAATTTTGCATTAATAGCATAGTTGTAGTTTTCATTTAATTTTCAGTATGATTCCTAGCATCATATTCAGAAACATATCCTATTTGATCATTTAAATACTGATATAATAATATAGCTAATTCTTTTTCCCCTTCAGGTATTTACTATGCAAGATCTATTACAACTCATTAAAGTCAACCCCACATCCAGTCTCTACAGATCACTGGTAAGATTAATTTTTATAATCTGCTTTGATTTGTTCATTATAACTGAATACTTAAGTAAATATAAAATATTGTCTTAACAGATTTCAGGATGTGAAAAAGAAAACCAGAAAGGTAAGAACCTTCACCTAAGTGGAAATTAGCAACATTTTTGGATGTGCTTTTTCCTATAAAAGTATGAAGCTATTAATTTTTATAGGGAAGAATAGAAAATTTAATTTGAACTAAATCATTTGATTTTCCTTGCTGACTCTACCTCACCTTTTAAATAATAATGACATTTCATATGTTGTTCTGAGAAATGTAGGTTATTTCTCCCCATCTACCCTTTTTATTAAAAGGGTAATTAGGGTAATTTTATTAAAAGGGTAATTAAAAGGGTAATTTTATTACAAGGGTAATCTTAGATAATTCAAAGGAAATTGATGACAGATTGAACAGTGTTCTTTGTAAAAATACTGGGATGTGTCCACACACACAAAAAAACTAATAACATTTGGCCAAATATCTTTGTATTCTAGGTGTCTCCCTCAAATACAATTTATACAGTATTAAATGTATTAATATTTATTAAAAGATTATCTTTCGGTAATATGTTTTAAAAATTTTAAGTATTTATACGTACCTAATAAATTGTTTTAAACTTGGCCTTGATAATAGCCTTTCATAGAGTCCATAGCTATTGTGGTTGCCTTGACCATACATTAAATTTGATGATGGGCTTTGATGTGTGAGCATAAGCTGGGAACTTGCCTTTGATGCATAGTTAATATTTTGGTCTTTTAAAATAATTTATGACCTTGTGTCATGGTCATTGTATGTTGGTTTGCTCTTTAATTTTGTCTGTTGCCCACCCTGCTGCCATCCCCATTGGGACATTTTAACTTCAGAGCTCCTTCAGCAGACTTTTGAATACCAACTTTCGACTAGCCAATTGTCTATTATTTAACTGCCAGGTCTCCTGGGGGTAATTTTTGTTTGTTTGTTTGTTTGTTTTGGTACTGGGAATTGAACTTGAGACTTTGCGCTTGCAAGGCAGGCGGCAGAAACACTGGGCTAAATCCCTACATCCCCAGCCCAAAAATACATTTTTTTTTTTTGGTACTGAGGATTGAACTCAGGACCTTACACTTGTGAAGTAGGTGGCAGCACCATTGAGCTAAATCCCTAGCCAATCTTGGGGGTAATTTTTGATTGGATCACAGTACATTCTGGGCTGCCTGCAAAATAGATCATCCCTGCTGAAGTCTGGTAAGCGCCCTACATTCTGGATGCTAAGGCAGTACCATCGAGGGTAACTCTCTGCTATGATGAAGATATTTATATTTGTGCAGTCTCATGTGGCCACAACCCTCACAGGGCTATTGGGATGAAATGTGCCTAGTGTGACTAAACAACTGAATTTTTAGTTTAAATTTAACCACATTGGACAGCACAGTCCTAAGGTATATAGCTAATATCTGTTGCTTTATTATTTGAGAAGGAAATTTGGGGCTTCAAGGGTTGTTGAGAAATCATCTATTTATCACAGGCATTTTATGTTATCCTTAAACGGTTTTTTACTTTACACAGTGTCCTGAAATGCTTCTAGGTCAGAAAGACATTTGACTAACAACCCTTACCACCTTCACCCAGCATCTGAGTAAAATTTCTGGAAGTCAGAAAACTCCGTGAGTAGCTAATATGACAACCATCCTAGTGCCAAAGTTTGGTCAGAACTCTTTGCTAACCATAAAATAGCTACTGTTAAAATGATATTAAAAATTGGTAGCTTCCAGTTAAGAGACTGAAGCCATAAAAATTAAGTAGGAACCAGGCATGATGGTATGTACCTGTAATTCCAGCACTCAGGAGGCTGAGGCATGAGGATCATGAGCTCCAGACTTCCTAGGCTACATAGTGAACTCAAGGCCAGCTTGTAATATGTAGGGAAAACCTGTCTTAAAAACAAGAAAAATAAAAGAGCTAACAAACAGGAAAATACTTTATACTTCTCTGTTCTCTGTCCCCTGAAACAAACCTGTGGTCTTATAATATCTCCACTCCGGAGGTGCTGATCTATTGAGTGACCATAGACTTTCTTCCTAGAGTCTACTCACCCATTCTTTCCACTTCTAATTTTTCCATTCAAGATAGTGATGCCCAGAACATTATGGATAGGAAATTTGGACATGGGCCCTGTGCTTTCAGGAAGTTAATATCCGTCCCTGTGATTAGCAAAAGAAAAGAACCCAGAAATAGATCCACATAAATACTGAACTTTTACAAAGGTACAAAGACAATTCCGTGGTAGAAGGATAGTCTCTTTCACAAATGATGCAGGAATTATTGGAAATTCATATGTACAAAAATCAAACTAGATACAGACTTTATACCAAACACAAAAAGTAACTCAAGCCACAGACCTAAATGTAAAATGTAAAACTGTAAAACTTTTAGACTAAAGCATAGCTGGAAATGTATGGCCTTGGGGTTTTTGATGAATTATAGAATACCGAAAACATGGCATATGAGGGAAAAATAGAACAGTGGGGCTTTATTAAAGTTAGAAACATCTGTTCCGTAAAAAACACTGTTAAGAGAATGAAAGTTCAAGTTACAAACTAGGGAAAAATTTTGTGAATCATTTGATAAAGGAATCACATTCAGAATAGCAAAGAAATCTTATAATTCAACACCAAAAGATGAGTAACTTAATTTAAAAATGATCAAAGGATCTGAACAGATATATTACTAAAAAAGATAGAAAGATGGTAGCCAGATTCAGTGGTGTATGCCTTTAATCTCAGCTACTTGGGAGGCCGAGGTCAGAGGGTCACAAGTTCAAGGCCAGAATGGTCAACTTAGTTAGACACTGGCCCTGT